AGCTGTTAACGACTCCTCCGGTTTTGGCATATCCTGACTACACTCAACTTTTTATTTTGCGCGTAGATGCTTCTGATATTGGTCTTGGAGGTGTGTTGATGCAAGAAAGCCCGAGTGTGCTTGGTCAGCGTCATCCCATTGCATATATAAGCCGTACGTTACAACTAGCAGAAGTGAACTACTCCACGACAGAGAAGGAGTGTTTAGCGGCAGTTTGGGGTTTCGAGAAACTTCATGCATATCTACATGGTTCTTGGACATTACATGAAGGTGATCATGCTGCCGTTACTTCATTATTGAAGCGAAAGAACCTGGTTGGTCGTACTGCTCGGTGGGCTTTGAAGCTTCAGATATATAATTTTGATGTTGTTCATCGCCCAGAGAGTTCTATGGCTGATGCTAATGTTCTTTCTTGAGATCTTCTTCCTTCTCCGCTCTCTTCTTATGTTTCTGATAAGCCTGTTGTTCCAGCATCTATGGATTTTCTAGACGAGGATTCTATGCCATCGGCGGTTGCTGTACTTGACGTTCAGTGTCCACAAAGTGCAGAGCAAAATCTACCTTCTCTTGATGAGGTTCGTGAGGCTCAAAATATTGAGCTGTGGATTCGAAGGCTTCGAGATGCATTTGAGAATCCTGCATCACTTGCTGATGACTTGCCTTTTCGGCATTTACATTCTCAATATCGTCTTGAAGATGGCCTCCTTTATTTTGTGGGGACGGATCCTGATGATCCTTTACGGCTGGTGGTGCCTTCTATCTTTATTCCGTGGTTTCTCCATGCCTACCATGATTCTCCTGTTCTATATGGGCATATAAGACATCGTCGTGTGACCGAAAAGCTGCGCAGGTCTTTCTATTGGCCGGAGATGCGACGTGATGTTATCCAGTATGTGCGTAACTGCGTTTGGTGCCAAGCTTGTAATACTCCCCCTTGTGCTACGGAAGGACGGTTGGAGTCAATTGCAGTTTCCCGTCCGTTTGAGTTGGTGGCATTTGATCTTATGGGACCTTTTCCACGATCGACTGCTGGCAATGAGTATGTTATTATTGCTTCTGACTACTTGACTCGTTGGGTGGAAGTTGGTGCTCTTGTTAGCACCTTTGCAACTGCTATTGGGGTTTTACAAGAGAACCCTGACTGCCTTCCATTATTCCGAGAGGAGGGGATATGTGAGGGCCAAGTGTACGGCTACAATGCCGTATACTAATATTAGTGTAGTGGGATTTTGGTAGCCGTTGGATTAGTTTCAATCCGGACCACTCGCTCCTGTATATAAGCTAGGGTTTTTGGGCTAATTGATATGCACATTTCTGTATTTCCTTTCCATATTCCATGCACTCACACTAGTATATTCTAGTTTATTTGACCATTTAATGGTTGACATTCAATAAGATTAATCTTGTGTATATAAAATATAAAAATGTTTATAATTATAAATTTCCATTTGATCATTTAGATTAATAAATAGGAATAACACTACTTTTAAGCAAACTAAACATTGCTACATGCATCAGACAACAAATTATTATTCATTTTACATTTATTTTGTAGTGGATTACCTATATTCTCATGCTAAGTGACTAGTATATTGAAATAATACTAGATTCTGGCTCTATTTTACATAATGGTTTTGATGTTGGGATTTGGATGTTTTGGGGTTGTTCTTTGACTACACACTTGGGAATTTAATTCTATCCCTTTTTTCAGTATCTAGTAAATAAATAACTAAAAATTTAATTTAAAATATAAGATGAAGTTATATAAATCTCTTTGGGTAATAATAAATTTAGCTTTTTAGAATTTTTTCTGGTTCTATTCCTTATATATACACAAAAGCTTTTACATAATTATATTTAGAGGGAGGATAGTGTAAAGTTTCTAAATACATATATATATTACCCTATCTAGATAATATATTCATTATCATATTATAGTATATAAATATATAAGTGATTAAATTTTCTATTGTACTTTAGTCATTTAACTATGCCCTTGACCACTTGGAAGGTCTCATTCACAACCTTATCCATCTTGGGGTACTTGTTATCTCACAGATGTAATCTCACTTAGTCTAAATGTTTTATGTGTTCAATCCCACTTTAAACACATAAAAGTATTATTGATATCTTAATTTGTTTAGCTAAGGCTATGTCAATTTGCCTTTATTTCATTGGTAGCCTAAGACATTTGCACTATAGTCTCATCTCTCCAAAATTAGGCCATCCATCTAAAAGTGGTCATCCTATTATTACATCTTAAAATCTTTAAGATGCCTCCCCTAATATCCCTCCTTTTATCCCTACCAAGTCTCTTTTCGTCCACAACAATATTTACTAACATTGCAATTGAATAAGGCCTTAAAGGCGTGATCATTAAATTTTATTAGCTTTTAAAACTTCTTCATCACGTGACCATATTTTTTATCACTAAGCAAGAGGATTATTCCTCTACCTTTCTACTTAAGATGATATTTTAAAACACTATAACCCAACTCAAGCCTTGTAAGTATTCCCCTTTACTTCTACCTCTAAGGTGCCTCAACCATGTGGTTAGAGCAAGGTTTCGATAAGCTATATAAAGTATTCAAATAGGTAGTGTTACTGTAGCATACTTTATCTTTCTCCCCTTAAACCAATTAGAAAATGGGTAATTACTTGATAAAAGAGCCTTTAGTGGCTATTTTATCCCCATTTATCCCCAAGGTTCCAAGGATCCATGGTGACAATTTATCTAAATCTCATCCTATGATCACATGCGCTTTCAAATATGTCAATATCCTTATTGACTCCATTTCTGCACTAAATTTACCAATCATTTCATTGTGTAAACCAATTATTCCATGTGAGGCAACTAGTCATCCAACACCTCTATTTCCACATAGAATCTACCAATCTTTCTATTGTGTAGATCAACTATTTTACCTTTGTCTGTGGATACTCCACATAAAAGGAAGAATGTATATATGGATGCCCAATATTGCCACTCTTTTGACACCCTACTCTTCGAGTTGAGCCCAGCCAAAGCAAATTGGACTTACTAGATGTCAATCAATATGTGGTGTAATTCCTCTAAGCCAACCAACAAAGTCAGACCCGAGACCCCTTTCTAATACCAAATGTAAGCTCCTGAGTTTGGACTTCCCGGGAGGTCACCCAGCTTAGTATTATTCAAACCCAAGGACACTTAAACCCCAAATATCCTAAAACCCTTAACCGATTGGAAAAAGGAGTGCACTTTTGTTCATAGGCCATTTCCCTTTATATTTAAATCTCATGGATTATCTCTCAAGTTTTTTTCTTTGGTTGCTTACAATCTACCACGCTTCCCTGCAAGTTCACACCCTCGTGAACAGAAGTTAAGAGCCGTAGCTCTTTTGAGAGCCCCGCTCTCTTGACACCCTACCTCTCAGGTCGAGCCCAACTGAAGCAAACTAGACTTCCCAAATATCAATCAACATGTGGTGCGATTCCCCTAAGCCAACTAACAAAGTCAAACCTGAGACCCCTCTCTGATACCAAATGTAAACTCCTGAGTTTGAACTTCTCGGGAGGTCACCAAACCTAGTATTATTCAAACCCAAGGATGCTTAACCCCAAATATCTTAACCGATTGGAAAAAGGGGTGCACTCTTGTTCATGGGCCCTTTCCTTTTATATTTGAACCCCATGGATCGTCTCTCAAGTTGTTCTCTTTAATTGCTTACAAATATGTATAATTTCAAATTTAGGAGTAGGAATATACCTTACTCAAATGTATATTATATTTTTTAAGTAGCCAATAATCAATGGGAATCAAACCCATTATTTACTTTAATACCACATGTAACGCACTTTATCTCTCTCCCTTTAAACCAACTGGAAAAGAGGCAATTGTTTAATGAAAGAGCCCTTAGTGACTATTTTATCCCTATTTATCCCTCAAGGTTCCAAAGATCCATAATGACAGTATATCCAAATTTCATTCCATGATCACATGCATTACAGTTACTCACACTTAGATTGGGAGCATCAATTATTCCATTTCCTAAGGAAGTTAAATCTAGCTTTTGAACACTTCAATAAATTACTATATTTGTCCATTTATGTCTATTTAATTTCCCAAGGGAGTTATAGCCGACTTTTGAACATTTAATCAAGTCACCCTATTTGTCCATCCATGTTTACTTCAGCTTTGGGCTCCTCAGTAATTATATTATCACTTATCATGTGGGTTTAACCTTCTTTAGTCATACTAGCCTTTATGTAAGCAGTTAAATTTTCCATTATACTTTAGTTATTTAACCACACCTTTAACTACTTAGAGAAGTCTCACTCACAACTTTCATAAATTTACTGGCATCAAATCTCTCTTGTCAGGCTTGCACTTTTGTCTATTAAAGAACATATTAGCCCTATGAATGGCATCTATGTTATTTAATTTTCACATTTGATCCAAGTGCTTTATGTATTTAATCCCATAATAGACACCCAATTTGGTCCATCCATTTTTATAAATAAGAAAGGGTCTAAACCCCAATTACATACTTATTCTGATATCTTGAACTTAATGTATTTCTCAAATATTTTATATAAATTATTGATAATGTTTTAAAAAAAATTAATAATTTGCTATGCATTACATGAAACAACACTTGGGCTTACTTAATAATAGTATTATTTCTATTTATTAATGCAATGGAAATTTATAGTTATAAACATGTTTATAATTTATAAACACAAGATTAATTATATTGAATATCAACCATTAGATGGTAGAATAAACTAGAATATACTGGAAAGTGTTTAGAAAAGTTTATAAATTATAAATACAAAATTAATCTAAATGAATAACAACCATTAAATAATAGAAAATTCTAGAATATCCAAGCATATTTTAAGTATATTCACTCACTCTCTTTACAGGTTTGCTTAAGAAAACTAAAAACCTTCTTAAGTAAGAGATTTGATTTACATTGTCAATTTTATTTTAAAATTAAAACAATAAGCTACATTTAGGGCTTATGGATGACGAGGGAGTTTTTCGCATTCCAGGCGCGCCAGTGGATGCCGTCTTCATCGATCCGCCAGCCCTCCTCAGCTCTGGGTATGTCGATTTTGCCCTCGAATCCAGCACGTATTACGCACGGAATGTGAGAAATCACGAGCGTGAGCAGTGCATTGGCGAGAAGAGAAAGAGGAAGAAGAAGAAAGCTGTTCTTAATCCGAAGGAGGTTCTAGCTCAGCAGCGCCACCAGGTGCTAGTTTTCTTTTTCTCACTCCTTCGATACTCTTTTTCTGTTCGTTTCTCGTAATTTCTTCCCGTGGTGTTTGTTCTTGGTGGATTTGATCGATTGTCTGTGTTTTTCATCAGGAGGCAAGAGAGATTCTGCTAGAGTCTCACAAGGCATTTATGTCCAATGAACCCGCGCAAGCAAAGCTGAAAGAGATGGTAAAACTCAAAACAAGCAATGCAAAAGTGGAGGACAACAGTGATTTTATAGCTTTGTCTCAGACATTTCAAGCTCCACTCTACGATATCACGCTTTCCTCACAAGGTGGGAGCATGTTCGAACTAATGTTTTGCTTGCTTCCTTCTAACAACTTCCCAAACTTTCGAGTCCAGGAAAATGTGTCCCGCTCTTTAACAATCTAGTGGAAGCTAGCTCCTCCGCGGAGGAAGTCGCTTCAAGCGCTGGCTCAGACTTCCTTCTTCCGAAAAACAGTCGGTTTCTCATGGTAAGTTCTGCATTTGAAATGTTTTGTTAATTACATACTGTTTTTGCAGACCGACTTCTCTGAAATTCACCGGCTAATTCCAGGCAAGAAAGTCTGTTTAGATGTATTTTTTCACAAACTTGTAGGCTCGTGTCAGACTCACCATCAACAGGTTATAATCTTATCATTATTGATCCTCCCTGGGAGAACAAGAGCGTCCACCGAAGATCAATGTAACTTTCCGTTTTCATTCTCGCTTTCACTAACTTCGTTCTTTTCCTTTTTAGTTATCCAACTCTACCAAATAAGTATCTCTTGTCTCTTCCCCTGCAACAATTGGTACACAGCAGCGGTGCTCTGATAGGCTTATGGATAACAAACCGAGAAAAGCTTCACCAGTTTGTAGAGAAGGAGCTTTTTCCTGCATGGAAACTAATTCCAGTCGGCGTGTGGTACTGGCTCAAGGTCGTGGCATTTTCTTTGGAACTTTGGTTTCTAACTTTGGAAAGCTGCAGATAACTGACGCGGGAACGATGGTTAGCGAACTGGATTTAAACCATCATAAGCCATACGAATGTTTACTGGTGGCCAGTACTCTCATGCAGGCAAGATTGCGTTTTTTCGTTTGCTTAAAGTTCTGTATTTTATGTAGGACCACAACGATGTTCCTCACAGACGCGTCGCTATTACTGTACCAGGCCAGCATTCGCGGAAGCCCCCGCTTGGCGGTATCCTTCCCCTGTCTCCTTTCGAAACTTAACAAAAAGAACAGTACTTCTTGCAGATTTTGCACCGAAACCGGTGAGAGCTTTGGAGCTGTTCGCGAGGGAAATGAACGCAAACTGGACCTCGTGGGGAAACGAACCACTTCGTTTTCAAGGCAAAAGCTATTTTGTCGAGCGAGTTCCTGAAGACTTGACTCTATCTGGAAACGACACAGTATGATCTTTAGAATTCTTGGTTCATGATTCTTGCCACTACAATCCAGATTGCATAATGACATGAGCCAACTATGTTCTGTGGACTTCTTCAGCATCGGTGGACCCATCAGTAGAAGCATGCGGTCAAGTAAGTCTTTTGACACGGCAATGAAATGAGAAGCGGAGCTCGAGCAATGCAATGGCTAGGCTCTTGGTTATTGTGAAGCTGTGCATCCTCCTCTTTATTCCAACGTACAGAATTGCTAGCGGCCAGCTGCTGACATCAAAGAATTCCACACGATGCTCAGATCTCTACACGTTTACTAGCCAGCAGTATCGCAGGAATATCATCCAGGCTTTTGGTTCTCTGGCAAACACCACGGATTACAAGACGGTGATCATAAACAGCAACAAGAATGGCTCTACAGTTGACACAGTGTTTGGCCTCCTACAATGCCGTGGAGACATTTCCTCCAGCGACTGCAATGCCTGCGCTTCGACTGCCATCAACTCTCTCAATGGATCCTGCGTCAGAAATTCTACAAAGGGGGGACGGGTGCAGGAAGAGACGTGTTTTCTACGCTACGAAGATCACTACTTCTTTTCGAATTACTCTGGAATCGACTCGGCTCTGGTGAACTGCTCGTCCGGCATCAGTAACTCCAGCCAGTACCGTTCGAACACAGACACCGGTTTTGCGTTTCTGAGAGACCGTATTCCAGGTAGTGCTGGTGGCTTCATGATAGCTGTTGCTGGAACTTCTCCCGACAACAGCGCGTACGTTCTGGGACAATGTGTTCGTGATCTGAGCACTTCTGACTGCGCGACCTGCTTGGAGAAAGCCAGAAGCTCATTGTCCAATACTTGCAATGGCAGAGATGGAGGAGCTTGCTACCTGGCTGAATGCAATATGCAGTACGAGAGTTTCAAGTTTTTTGGTGGAGTTCCCGTCAACGCAAGCAGCAGTACCGCGGTTTCCACTTCTGGCGGAGGTGATTGTTCTTCATTCTTATTGTTTGTTATATTTTTAAACCTTGTTGTCTTTCTGAAGGTAGCAACAAAGCAAGAAATGTAGGCATAATCGTGGGAGTAATCGCCGCAGTGCTGCTAGTTGCTGGTATAGCTCTTGGTATGAATTGGAGGTGGCGAAAAAATGGTAAATTTGGTAAATTCATTTAAAGCCAGCTTGTTTGGAAGCACTTACGAATTTTCATTTCTGCGATAGCCAATGACTTACAAAGTACCTTGCATCGCGGGCCAGTTACGTTCCCATATCGGATGCTGAAATCGTCCACTGCAAACTTCGACGAAAGCCACAAGCTCGGTGAAGGTGGCTTTGGTGCTGTTTACAAGGTTAAGTTTTTATTGTTTTTGCAGCAGTGAAAACTCATGGATCTCTTCCTGAACAGGGATATCTTCCAGATGGATCCGAAGTGGCGATCAAAAAGCTCACCGTCACCTCCAAGCACGGTGAGCTTCAGTTTCTGAACGAAGTCAAGGCAATCAGCAACGTGCAGCATCGGAACTTGGTAAGGCTGCTTGGATGTTCTACGGAAGGCACAGAAAGGCTTCTCGTCTATGAGCTCCTCAAGAACAACAGTTTGGAAAACGCTTTGTTCGGTAAGTTTGATCTCTTTATACTTCTACAGATTGTATTGAAGCTGGCTGGCCGTGTCTCAGGCCCTGTAGAGAAGCCCCTGTCCTGGGAAACTCGCCATAACATTCTCTTGGGAACTGCTCGTGGTTTAGCATATCTCCACGAAGACTCACAAATACGAATAGTACACAGGGACATCAAACCGAGCAACATTCTCCTGGATGAGTTCTACGAGGCCAAGATAGCCGACTTTGGATTGGCAAGGCTGTTCGAATCGTCCCATCAGCTGGAGGTTCTAACCACCAAAGCTGCAGGAACATAGTAAGTTCCATAGTACTTGATGTTTTACAACATGCTTTCGATGATCTTGCAGTGGCTACATGGCGCCAGAGTACGCACTCAATGGTCAGCTGAGCGACAAGATCGATGTTTACAGCTATGGAATCGTCATTCTGGAAACCGTGAGTGGCAAAAGAAACCGAGACAGATCACTGGTGGACGAGGTACTTGAAAAAATTAGTGTTTGTATTTAGATTTGTAAGGCTCGCGGAATTGTTTTCCAGGCATGGCAGCTTCACGCTGACACAGGAGGACTATTTGGCGGCTTTGTGGACCCGAAACTGGAGAACGAAGTTTCCAACAGCCAGGCGCTGCAGCTGGTGACACTGGCGCTCATGTGTACTCAAGACTTGCCTCAGGCGCGGCCGTCTATGCCTCACGTCGTCGCGGTGCTGGCGGGGTACTCAAACGCTCACGTTCCAGAGAACTTGAGCCGATCATCTTCACTCTCCTACACAGCCATGCGATCCAATGACTCCACCAGGATCTCCTCGGGAGCTTCCAATGAATCCCCCCAGATTTCCACCTTGGGGCCACGATAGTTCCATTTTGATTTTGGAGCTTGTGGCGAGTGTTGATATGTTCTACGACGACACGAAAGGTTTAGAGAGACCTTTATTTAGAAACGCAAGAGTACCTTATTTGCTGGTTCGATAGTCTAGACTTTAACGTGAATAAAAGATATTTGTGGCTGTAAAAGATGGTCACAGCTGAAACACCCCGACTTGGTGGTTGCCGCGGCTGAGAATTACAATTCGGTCCGACTTCCAATGCAAGCGAAAGGACAAATCAATCGTCTCCTCGCTTTCGCTTTCTTCCTCCTGCAAAGCACAAGATAAGATTGACAAAAGCAACAAGGCGCGAAGATTACCACTTCCTCGAGATTCTTCGATCCACTCAAATTTCCGATAATGCTACTGCTGGATGATTTTGGGGAGAATCCTGGCGAGGGTGGTAAGAGAACTAGCTTTGTGCACTGGACGGGCACGGTGGAGCGGCTCAGTTTGTCCCACCAAGCAGCGCCAACCGACCACCATCGAAGTATCAATCCTTGATGTGAGAAAGCTACAAGACCCTGGAGCATGCAAACGAGCGATTAGAGTTTTTTATCCAGCTCAAGCTAAAATACCTCGCCATCATTCGAGAAGCTCAGAGCGGTAATTCCTAGCGTCCGAGTGGAGCTTTTAGCACTGGGAGACAATGCTGGATGTCCGGGAGGTCCACTGGCATCAAGAACCTTCATAATACTCGCACTGACAAAAGAAAGAAAAAACATAAAAAAACATGCTACAAAAGAAAAACATTACCTGTAAAGGTCATATACATGAATCCTAAGCGACCGGATGTCACCCACTGGATCACCAACTGCAAGTTTGCCAGCTGCTGATTGAGCAACCGGATGGTAAAGAGCAACCATAGGAAAAGCTTGAGACATCTCCTTGATCACTTCCATGATAATAGGAAAGTTGTGCCGTCTTTGCAGCGAATCCGCAGGATCCAATAGACGAACAGCCAGCGAAACAATCTGCTAGCACAGAATAGTCACGAGCTATAGCAAAAAAAAAAAGATAAAGATAAAGAAAAACTGACCCGTCCAAGACACGCAATGACAGTCGACGGAGACGTACGTATAACTTGAACTAGCGACGTGAGTCCCAGTAAAACGCTCGAAGAAGATTTCGTCGATGCTACTCTTTCCAGAGCAATCAAGAAAGCGTGCATGTCCGCGAGCGCAAGAGCTGACAAGAGCGCTCGGTGGTGTTCCGTAGTAGCAAAGTGACCACCGTGATCCCCGTCACCGCCAATGCATTGGATGAGAAAGAGCACGTCCGAGGTGAGCTGGGACACTTCCTCTGACTGTATAAGTGGCTGCCAAGTGCTCGCCATCCCAGCACACAAAACCTCCGCTGCTGTAGCACTGTGCCTATCACTTGTTCGCACTAGCTTGAGCAGTAAGGGAGCGGTGGAGCTCGACAAGTCATGCCGCACCAAGGACTTGTGCCAGATTGCCAATGCTCCACACATGATGATTCTGCAAGCTCTACCATCCTGGTCCGAGCCACCTGTGAGGCCAAGCCATGTTTCCTGTCCTCCTGACGATTCTAGCCACTCGAGAAGATCATCGAACGAGGAGCCGTTATCATTCTGTAAAATGTCTGGCACCGCTGTGGATGCTGCAGAATGGAATAAGAGACGGGCAGCCAGTCGGACATGCTCAGCAGGATCTTGCCAGAAACATGAAAATATCTGCACGTGAAACTCAGTTTAGAAGATCACATGGACAACTTTGCTCTTCTCACCTCCAGACAAGCATCACCAAGTTTCTCAACAGCTCCAGCCGTGTAGAAAGCAGCTAGAGCACTGGCCAAACACTCGTATCATAAGCTCAACCACAAGAGGAGAGTTATTACCTGCAAATCATAGAGCCGGGAGCTGAAAACGTGAGCAAGCGCTGAGCGAGCGACACCATCGTCAAAGCTCGCAATGAGAACAAAACCGACGAGCGGCTCCAAAACTGCGGAAAAAAAGTTAGTATGGCGATGAGGAACGGAATGGCAACCTTAGAAGCTGCTTCTTTCGTTGGAAGTATTAGTGTAACGCTCCCTCTGTTCCCAGCTATACCTGCAGCAACACGATGGTGCCTCGGTTGGAATACTTGCAGCTCGTTTGCCACAGATTTGTCAAGCTCCTCATCAATTCCCCAAAAGTGAAGAACTGAAAGGCTCAGCTTCAAGAGCTTCTCGTCAACAGTGCTTAAAAGCGACGTCATGTCGAAGTGGATGGCCGCTATACCGGGAAACGGGCATCCTGCTCTGATAGCATGTTGCTTGCAGTGTGGATCCATACTACCTTGCACCTGGCTGCTTGTGATTTCTTGCGAAGCCATCGGACTATGTACATCGTCAAGAGGTAGAAGCAGCGAAGAAGCCGAAGTGAAGTCCCCATGCAGCTCGGTGGTACGCCTCTTCCGACTTGCAAAGTGCTTCAGCATCGACTGAGCAGCTGCTCCACGAAGTATACGCTCACGAGCACCGGAATGGATGTCCCATATGTACAAAACCAGCTGACCATCGCCGGCAGTGCACAGGACTGCAAGATAAGCTCTGAACTCGTCCCACACAACTTGTTGTATCACACCAGCATGCCCCGGAAATATCCTCTCGGTTCTCAAGCTCGTAAGTGACGACAATGCCACGGTCGAATCATCGGCCACGGAGACGAAGCACTCATCCCAAGGTGGCGAGGACTCTGGTGAAGGTAAAACAAACTGCCTTACAGGAGCAACGTGTGGATGAAGAACTGCTATCAAGCTCCTATTCCCTGCTTCTATATCCCATAAGCACACCGAGCCGTCCATACTTCCAGAAAGTAACACTTGCCTCGACTCGGACTGATGAACAGCAAGGCACTGGATCGATGGGCCGTTCTCACTCGCGTGTACTTCTTTCCTCCCAGGCTCCAGCTTTATAAGATCAAAGTCCCCGTTGGCGTATCCACACACGAAGATCGATGGAACTAGAGTCCCATAACTGGGAACAAGTAGCGAAGACGTGATGGTAATGCTGTTAGCAGTTTCCAAACCTTTCCAAAGCCGACCAGAGCTACCATAGCTTGCTCTTCCTGTAGCAGCACCTTTCCAACTGGAAGTCCACACTGCTACACTGGCCTCCTGATTATAATCAATACGAACTATGATGTCGCCGATAGAGCAGAAGGTGATCTTGCAGCCTGCACTTCCTTTGAGACCTGGCACGACACTAATGCGAGCGACAGAATTGCTTCCCTCCACGGAGTAAACGGTGGCTGATCCCTGTCCATCCCAAACTAGAAATTGATGTTTCTCGACGTCCCTCAGAAAGTATCCACCGACCAAACACGTACCGTCTTCCCGATAGACTATCGACAAGGTTTCAAGCGATCTTAGCATCCATCCCAATGGAGAAACCAAGAGCAAAAGTTTTCCATCATTGGACAGTGAGACTGCTTCAGCTGCTTCTACATGAAGATCTCCCTCCACACCTTCCTGGCCAGACTTGTTCTTGGACCATACTTGAAAGTTGCCTTCTAAATCCGCAACAGTAGCCTTAAACTCGTCCTGCCGTGCTACCACCACTAAGTCGTTGATTTCCCTCAGTCCAAGGAGCCCATGGTAGATGTTCTGCGTGACTCTAAGCGTGCTCGTGTCGACAACAAGGACGCCACCTTTTGCCTGTCCGGAGCTGCTAGAATTGTAACCAACGCAGACGTGTTTCGTCTCACCAGGAACACGAGAAACTGATGTAGGCTGCGCAATCGATGGAGGCAACCGTCGCCTCCTTAAACACTTCCCAGTATCGCTATCCCATACGCACATTCCCCGCTCGCTACATACGCTAAGAACTCCACCTTGACTCTGGCTCTGGCTCCGGTCGCATGCCTGCAAGCCAACTATAGCAGCAGTATGCCCGCAAAGTAGCGCCAGTGGTAGCACATCCTGCGTAGATATCCTTAGTTCAAGCACCAAAAACAAAAACGAAAAAAGAAAGAGATGGAGATCCGCACCTCTGGAACAAAGTGCTCCCCACACTCATCCTGCCAAGAGCCGAAAAGTCATGAGAGGAAAATTTGGATGAGAAGTTCCAGACCTTTGAGGATGAGCGTGAATCAAAGCTCCACAAAAAAATCTTGCCATCGGCAGCTCCAGTCCAGATTGTCGCAGGCTTGTCCAGAACAAGCGCCACTCGGACATCGTGCGCAAAGGTGTTGGATGCCCACAAGCCTTGCGAAACTTCTAGCTTCATGGGAAATCTAGAAGGAACGTATCAGTCGAACCATCCCTTTTGTCTATTACGCTCCAGGCGTTGTTCTCTCTGCCAAGAGCACCCAAAGTTTATAATGTTGATCGAGTGGAGATCGATGAAATCTAGAAAGAATATGTCTTACCTCTATCTTCTTGCACGATTTATAGACCTTGATCACGTCCTTGCATCGATTCTTATCGGAATTCCTCTCCAGGCCTGGACGAATCGTCATGACTTAGCTCGAATCGTCGATCACAGCACTTACACTTAAGACTAGCAGTGTACTGTGGATAACACATAGAATCCGCAATGCGCATCACGCCGGATCCCTCTTTGAGCTTCTGCGGGCCAGATCGCGACTCCATTCCCTCCATAGACCCTAATTTCCACTCTAAAAATGTAGGGTTCTTAGTTCTAGAGTAAATATCTAGCTAGAGCTATGGAGGCTTGGGCTGCAGAGATCTTGGAGGCCGCCAACGATCCAGGCACGGTGGAGTGGGTGAGATCGGTCCGGCGCTGCATTCACCGCAACCCGGAGCTGGGATTTGAGGAGCACCAGACGAGCGCCCTCATTCGCAGGGAGCTGGATGGAATGGGGATTCCCTACCGGTGGCCAGTGGCCAAGACAGGAGTGGTGGCGACCATTGGGAGCGGCGATCGGCCGATTGTGGCGCTCAGGGCGGACATGGACGGTCTTCCGATCCAGGTACTGAAAGGAAGAACTAGATTTTTTTAAGCATTGGCTCTTTGAGTAGGAGATGGTGGAGTGGGAGCACAAGAGCCAAGTGGATGGGAAAATGCACGCTTGTGGACACGATGCTCACCTAGCCATGCTCCTTGGCGCTGCTAGGATTCTCTCGCAAAGGCGCCATCTTCTCAAAGTAAGCTCTCCTCGATCGAGTCTTTTCCTTTGTGCTTGAAAGTTTCGCTTGCGCAGGGAACGGTGCTTCTTCTCTTCCAGCCAGCTGAAGAAGGCAAAGCTGGCGCTCAAGTTATGGTCCAGGATGGAGCTCTTGGAGACGCCGAGGCCATCTTTGGCTTGCACGTAGCACCGGAAGCTCCGACGGGAATCATCGCGCTCCGGAGAGGACCGTGCTTAGCCGGATCTCGCGCCTTCGAGGCCGAGATCAAGGGCCGAGGTGGTCATGCCGGTTGTCCAGATCACACTGCCGATCCCATCGTTGCGGCCTCGTTTGCGGTGATCAGCTTGCAGCCGCTCGTCTCTCGAGAAATGGATCCTCTTGGTAATCAGGTGAGCATCTCAACGCTTATTCGAGTGTTGTTTGTTTGTTTTTTTTTTTCCTTTTCTTTTCTTTTTTCTTTTTTCTTTACATTTGCGAAGGTTGTTTCTGTGACTAGCATAAGTGGTGGGCATACCTTCAATGTCATTCCAGATTCTGTGACTCTTAAAGGCTCGTTCCGCTCCTTCTCCAAAGAAGGCATGGCTAAGCTTAAAGAGAGAATCCAGCAGGTTTGTGAGAAGCTTTTCTACATACAAACAAGCTCTGAAACTTGCGTTTTTTAGATCATCGAGAGCCAGGCAGCTGTTCACAAATGCACCGCTCGCGTAGTCTTCGATGGAGACCGCCCGATGTATCCAGCGACGATCAACGACGATAAATTGCACGACCACGCATCCTGGGTCGCAACGTCACTCTTTGGAAGCCACTGCGTACGCAACATCAAGCCGGTGATGGCTGCCGAAGACTTCTCGTTCTACTTGGAACGCATTCCAGGCATGTTTACTGGCCTGGGGATTCACAGCGAGGCAAAAGGGACTACTCATTTCGTCCACTCCGGTCTCTTCCGCATGGACGAAGACATGCTCCCCTGGGGAGTAGCGTTCCAAGCAGCCGTAGCCGAAGCATACATCAACGAGCTCCAGCCTCCTCTCGGACGGACGTAAACAGCAACACAGCTGACAAATTCAAGGTACTATCTTTTCTTCTATGTTCTGCGTGGACGAACCACGTTTGGTTTTAAACAGGGCGCGAATAACCATGATAAGTCACGAGCACCAAGAACTCCGTGATTTAGAACGAAGTAAATATCAGACATTTCCAAGCCAAGGCCCAGCGTCCGAGCTCTCGCATCCTCTAGAGCTGACACACTCGCAGGAGCCGCCTAGAAACGATGGTAAGCTCTCCGCGTCGACGAGCTCCAGCAGCCTGGGCACGTAGTTGGTTCCGTGAACTTCGATCTTCTTCTGGGTTTGCTTGTCGAGCCACGGTTTGACGATGCTCCAGAGCGCTTTGAAGTAAACCGGCGCGTTGACGATCACCATCTTTCCCAGGAACTCGGGGTAAAAATCCTGGTCGATCCGGAGGATGGCTCTCACGAACTGGCGGACCTGTTTGCTTACGTGCTTTACCACCTGGAGGAGCGAGGCAAGAAAAAAGATGGAAACTTTTACAGCAAACGAGCAAAAAAAAAAAAAAAGAGGAACTTTACCACTCCTTTGAGGTCGAGAATCGCGAGTGATTGAGTGATCGCTCGGCCGGCGTCACGGGACGCAGCAGGGAGCCTGACATCCACGAAAATCTCCCACTCTTTGATGTGATCCAGCAGCATTCTCTCCATACTTGTCACTTTAAAGAGCTCTTCCAAGCGCAGCTTTCCCAGCCTTTCGATGTAGATTGGCCTTCCCAACTTGTCCACCTTGTGATAGAAACGCGGATAGAGCTCTTGCGTTGCATCACGCTCTTGGAAATCAAACTCCTTTTTCCAAAGTTACTCGGAGGAGTAAGAACTTCGGGAAAGCTTTTGTAAAAGTTTACCTGTTTGAGAGCGTCTGCTCGAACTTCTGCGCGCCATTGGAGCATGGCCTCGTACATGGCCTTTGCCTTCCACACATCAAACGATCTTGCCTTGAGAAATCTCACCAGGGTATCGACGTCCCCTTGAATCTGGCGATCGCCCAAGAGCTTTTGCAGCCTCTCCAACGCCTCATTTTGGGACTCGTCCAGTGCGTCGACCATTTCTTTCTCGTTTTTACTCTTTCTGGCAAGATCCGAGCTGTTTGTCACGAAGAACTAGAGGATGCGATCAAATTCACGGACTTCACACACATAAAAAGTGAAAGGTCGGACAAAGCAAGACTCTTTAACTTGCCTCGTCGCGAGATGGAGAATCTCTCCACCGAAAAGCCTGTTTAACAGCCTCTTGAGGCCGACTCATTGTCTGCTACTCGACGACACTGTGACTTCCGATCGCCCGAAGCCACGAAAAAGCAAAAACAACTTGATCTGCTCACCGCAAAATACGATCGGAGCTCTTTTCCGAGACGAAGACATGACTCCAAACTTGGGCCTAGCAGCCAAGTATCATATGATATTCCGCAAAGTATATCCCTGCCTTTGGCGAGCGAAGACCAAGCTCTTACAAAATAAGAGATTCCCGGTTCCTCTTCCTTGTCTGTAAAGTTTGCGGCACACATCCTACTAGAAGAACAAACAGGATATATAGGCTAGAAGAAAGATCAAGCGCATCAATCAATCAAACAAGAGAGGACGAGAAAAAGAAGAGAACACCTCGAATCGAAACGTACTTGGTTGTTGCCATGCACACTCATCCAAGAATCTAAAGCTCCCGACTGTCAATCAATCGAGAAACATTGAAAAACTCGCGCGAGAACATGGTTGACGCAATGCAAACAAAGAGAGAAAAACTAAAGTTTCCGCAAACCTGGCAGCGTCACAGCGCGTTCCCTCGAGCACAGGAGACCTAGGTGGAGTTTTAAATTCAAATTCAAAAAAAGAGACGTGCGCGCGCGCGGGACGCGGTCCATGAACCCTAGAAAGGCTCTTCCTCCTCGCTCCTTCCTTCCAATTCATGGATGTAGGGCCGATCGAAAACGACCCCCTTTTCTTTTCGCGCGATTGTCATCTTGTTGTTTATTGTCCATGCGAGGATCTGACAGCCGTATGCCAAGTTGCCCCGGCCGAGAAGAAATGCATCCCATTTCTTCCTCTCCTCCAGAGGAAAAAGGAAAAGAAAGAAAGAACAGGTCGTCAGAGAAATGGGAGAGGAGAGGAAAGGGATTTGCCGATGCTGCTGCTGCCACAGGATCAATCAATCACAAGACCCCAGCAAGCAAAGAAGCAGCGCGCACTGCTGCGCGGGCGCAGAGAACAAAAAAGTTTTCCAGCAAGTTTTCCTTTACCCTCGAATGGGACGTGTTCATTCGTCGTGTCATCATCAATTCAATCTTCCTTTTTCCCCTCTTTCTTGCTCGCCCAATTCGCACAAGCAAATCGATCGCTCGCGAGTCGCGACAGTAAAATTCCAAGCTAACCCCCAGACAATGATTTTCTCGATCATTAAAATCCCTGATCCCATCGCCCCACCAAACACTTGTGTGTGAGATCATCACACCTGGTTTCACTGTTGCTGCCCAAAATTTCCCATGAAGCTGATCCAGCCAGCAAAATTCTCCAGTTCCTCTCTGCCAAGATCAGCTCGATCGATCCATTCCATCGCTTCGATCGATGAGACCGCGCACCCCACCCCAGCCAGTTTTTTCTCTGATCAGATGCTTCAGACCGGGACAGCGACGCCTGGCCCAATTCGTAAAATCAGAGGAAAAAAAGATCGATCCATTCATGCGATTGCCATAAAAACTTTCCCCACTGCGCTGCTAACTCGATCTTTCTTTCACGAGAAATCAATCAATATGATACACACATGGGCGTCTCTGCCAGGACTGGCACAGCAAGAACAAACAAAGAGGAAAAAAAAAACAACACCTCTATATATATGTATACGTAAGCATATCTGCCGCGCGGCATGCCGCCCAGCCGGGTATCAACACTGCACGGCATACCGCGCGGCACGATCGTCTGTGCGCCGCGCCGCCGCCGCCGCCCCCTTGGCTCGCGATTGCTCCGTGCCAAAGGGATTTATTTTCCTTGGCTGCCGCCTGGCCATGGCGATCGATCTTAGATCCTCCCCTTCTGTCACAAACCAATGTACACGCTTGTAGATCGATCGGCCGCGCGCGCCAGCCAGCCAGCCAGCCAGCAGCAAACCATGAAATGAAAGAATTGCCCCCTTGCTGCTCGTTTCATTCGCTCCAAAATCTCTTCTCGCCCGATCGATCGCCTCGAGGAGCGGATGAAACGCGCAGCAGCAACCCTCGAAAGAAGAAAAAAAAAAAAAAAGCCCCCCCAATCCTCTGTACGTATCGCTTCCTCCACCATCGCTTATTTTTTCCAGTGAGTTCCTCTGTTTTGGGAGAAAACAGAGCACTGTCGATCTCGGCTCCAATTCCTCCAATCCTGCCGGAAATTCCCCGAATCCCGCGAGAACCCACTTCACATCTGATCGATCACCGCCGCCAGTCTCTGCAATTCGGGCGACATCGGCCCAAAGCTCGCCAGATCCACAGCCGCCGTGTGCGCCGCCCAGGAGACCACTCCTTGATCAGCCGACGACGATGAGATCATCCCCTGCGACGCCTTGTGCGCGCTGCCGTGGCTGTCAGAGAACTCCTGCATCGCACACGACACTGGCAGGAGCTCCGACACTGCTCCCAGCGATTGGCTCTCGCACGACCCATCCGAGCTCTCGAGCTTGTGCGAGTAATTCCACAGCGGCTGCTGGGGATGAGACGATCTCGATGTGCTGCTCGTGCTGCTAGTGCTGCAAAGATTCTCCCAGCCATTCCCCCCTCGGTGATGATCCAGAGGATGGTGGTGGTGGTGATTGAGCATGACCAGCGAATTGCGCATTAGACTCGCGGAATCCGTGTCGCCATAGAAGGAGGATTGCAAGTCGGACGATCCGCCCGTGAAATCCATGCCCGCCGATGGAATCGACGAGGAATTCAGGTGATTTCCCTGCTGCTGCTGCTGCTGCTGGAAGACCCAAAACACTGGATTGGTGCTGTAATTGTTGCTGCTCGGGACCGGGAGGAGCGATGGGAAGCTAAACTCGGGCTTGGCACCACCGCCCAGCAGAGGATTTCTTCGCGGAATCGCGTCTCTCGAGGAGGGGGTGGAGAGGAACTTCTCGAGCAAATTGTCCGTGATGAGCTGCTGCTGCTGCTGCTGCTTGATCAAGCTGGGAGAATTCGAATCCAACGCCATCTTCTGGAGCTTCGCCGCCACTGGATTGTCACCGCCGGCGCTCTCCAAGAACTTGCCCAAAAAGTTATCCGTGGTGAGCTTGTCCGGCTTGTTCGTGCTCGCGATCTCGTCCGAGGGATGCTTCTTGTGATCCACCGCCGCCACCTGCGCTTGATTCCTCGGCGCGAACAAAATGTCCTCGAGAACCGCGGGATAGATCCGAGGCCTTTTGCTCGCCGGTTCCACCAATTGTTGATCCAGATGGTGCGTCTCGTGCGGAATCGTCGTGTTTGTGATCGTTGTGGCTGTGGAGTTTAGATTGGAGCTGGAGATTGAGGAGCTCTCGGGATTGATCGCGTGCTCCGACGCCTGGATCACTGGCTTGTGTGTGTTGGGATCTATGCCGGCCTGCCGGAGCTTCTTCTTGATGCAAGTGTTCCAGTAGTTTTTGATCTCGTTGTCTGTTCGTCCGGGGAGCTGAGTTGCGATTTGCGACCACCTGGACAAGAACACACAAGAAATTTCCATTGCTCGATCAGCCAACTTCTCAAAAGCTGCGGAATTCACGAGAATTCACGAGAATTCACCACTGAATTTTGCTCTCACCGGTTGCCCAAGGCCGAGTGTAAATCGATGATGAGTTTCTCCTCGTCCGCCGAGAAAATCCCTCGCTTCAAATCCGGACGGAGGTAGTTGATCCATCGCAATCGGCAGCTCTTGCCACATCTCTGCAATCCTGCGAGAAAAAGATCATATCATCACAATCGAGCAAAGGAGGTCCTACATTTGGGAAGGGAAACAAAGCAATACGAAGATCAAAAGAGAAGAAGACCACGGCCTCCAATTCCAAATTCCAGAGAGGTGACACCAAGAAAAAACCAAGAACGCAGTGGATTACCTGCTTGTTTGGGCACTGTACTCCAGCATCCATGCCCGTATTTCGTGATGTAATGTACCAATTTCTCGTCCTCCTCGGGCGACCATAGCCCCTTCTTCAATTTTTGCTTCTGGCAGCAAGAATGCCGACCCATGCCTCGTCCAGGGAGGAGGAATTCTGGGCCGCCAACTTGGATCGGCCGCGGCGAGCTAAATCCCGGGAAGAACCAGCGAAATCAAGGAGAATTCATAGGCATTGACTAGAGAAGACTAGAAAAAAGAGAAAAAAAAATGGTAGCAAACTAGGAGGATTAGGGTTCTAGCGGAGTCTCGAGGAGAGGAAGGAAATGCTGCCCAATTTTCGTGTCACTGCGACGAAATCCCATCACTCATCAGTGCCGCTGCTGCCACTCCTCTTTGTACCCCCCTCCTCCTTCTCTGGATCATAACGCACAATCCCGCGGCCTTTCTTCCCTGCTCGCGCTCGCGCTGCTGTTATAATCTATCCACACTAGCTAGCAAATGCCGGAATTTCTTTCTTGCGCGGCAAGATTCGTCGATCCAGCCCGGAATGCCCGCAGATCCTCCTCTCCGCGGCCTGCTGTGACAATCTGACGCAAGAAAAGAATCGCCGAGAGTCATGGCCCCGGCGGCCTTGTGATCGATCGGCCGCGAGCGAGCGAGCGAGCAAGCGAGCGATGGAGGAGGAGATTGGGGGATGAATGAGAGATTTGGAGTTATTCCTCCAGGAATTCAAGGACTCGCGCCAGCGGGGACACGAATTCGTCAGTAGGGCGTCAGGGATGCTACGCGCTGCCGATGCCGCTGGAATCGCTGAAAATACTCTTCCCTCTTTTCTTTTCTTTCTCTCTCGCCTCCTCTCTGGCTGCACAGAACCCCTGGTCCGCTATGACATGGCTGCGAGCCGACGTGGCACGGGAAAAACACCGACGTGGATTGCCACCACCGACACCGCCTCGCCAGGTAAAAAATCACTTTGCCGCGCTTTTTAAACCCGCGCCAGCATATTCGCCGGCGCTGCTGCGTGGTGCCATCCTGGCCCTTGGATGCCACTTGGCGTTTGACCAAGCACTGGAGCCGGCCAGCTTTTTCTCCACAGGCCCGTTGACTTCGTCGAAAACCTAGTAAACCCGCATCGCTTATGCTTTACAATGTTTTACGGGATTTCTTAATCACACATTTCTCGTGTAGATTGATTGGAATATGCGGCCTATCCCCAAGTAGTAGGCCGTGACCTCATTCATACACATGCCAATCTCTTTCGGAGTCATCCTTTTGCTTTCAAAACTTGCGAGCGAGCCAATCACGAAATGAGCGAACAAGACAAGGCATCAAATCAGGCGTAGATACCACGCCCTTTAAAATTGGAATGGACTCTCATAAACGAGCGTTGATTAAACAAGCCCTTGTTCTGATCACCAAAGCTTCCAAGTCAAACTTGGGGAATTTACAAAACCCAGGATCACGGAATCGATCAAATTCCAGCCTAGAGTTCAACACAATTCGAAGAACAAATGATCAGCACCGTCGTCATGTCCTCGTCACAAGGCGTCATCGACGGTCGCTAGCATGCCACGACCTGCCGACGGCCACGATTGGCTCGGGTATCACGGAGGTCAGACAACACAGATTTACGCCCAGCACGGACAAGCAAATAGAACATGTACCAGCATGAAAACGATGTAAACTCTAAAGACCAACGAGGCTAAAGAAGGAGAAAGCGAGATAGGGCACACCCGTGAGATCATCGATCATCACAGGGAGATTTTCCAGTGTAGCCAGCACAACAAGAGCCAAAAGGCGCACAGTGTGATCGATCAAGAAATTAAAACTATAACTATAAGATGTATGGATGTTCTCCAAATTCTTGTTCCATGTTTTTCCAAATCGCATTTAAGATGGGTGACGTACGTGAAAACAAATGCCAACGGGCTCCATGAAAGATTTCCGGGACCACGAAGAGCTTTGTTCGCTGCTATAAAAATCCCTGGCATCTTTTTTCTCTCTATCGATCCATACACACACAAGGTTTCATACGATACGAAACTTTCGGGAGAGGAGAGAAATTAAAAGACTCGTGCCCTAAAAACTTGCCACGTTGCAAGCGTACAGCGTGGACTCTCCGCCGCATTGATGGACGGGGCCCGCCAACGTGGCGGCCACGTGGTATTGCGCCGAGAATTCCTGTCGGTCCGTGCCGCGGTCGCTGTCTCTACACGCTCCAGGACCGTTGGACGGACGCTTTATCCGGCGGGTTGTCTGGGCTTTGCAAGGCTAGCTGGGTCAAGTGGCATTTAATGCGGCCAGGTCCCAGCCAATGAAATCTCTGGAAATAGAAAAATACAAGTTTTCCATGTGCGGCAAAAACTTTGGAGGCATATGCCACGCTGCATGGAGGAATATGCTTGTTTTAGCTACGTATGGGACCATGCACCATGTGAGAACGCCTGCAGCGCTATTCAAGTACTCGCAATAAGCTTTTCTCTCGTCACTTCGATCCATATCAATGTCTTGCCGCGCAAAGGAGACTTTATTTCTTTCTATCTTCCCTGCGATGAGAGAAGGACGATCGATAAGTTAACTCTTTGACCAATTATTGGATCTCCAGCTTTAACGGAACGGAAGATCAGCTCATCCCTCTCCGACTTTCCAGAGTTTGCAAGCAGCAGCTCTTGGGCGACCGATCGACGGATTGGTTCGAGCGAGTGACTTGACCGACTGAATGATTGATTGATTGATTGATCCGTGGCGAGCAGCTGGGCTGCAACGAAACAAGAGAGAGAGAGATAGAATCAAGCGCGAGTTTAGACAATGAAACAGACAAAAAACAAAGCAGGCAAAAGGCGGAGAAGAAAAACAAGAAGCATTACTTTACCTCAGGATGATGAGCTTTGGTGAGATCATCCTTTCCGCTGTACGCCTGCTAGAAAACGATTTAAAAGCCTCACCTCCAAGTTGCAACCAGCCAGATGATCCCCTCGGGAACTCAAAACGAGCAAATGCTTCCGAGGATGCGTCCAAGCGGTCGATCAACTGGATTTTCCTTCTCTTTTTCTTCTCTCCTCCATCCAAGCGCGTTTAAGACACGAGCACAGTCACCGGCCTCGCCTTTGTTTTGCTGTCCTCGCAGTAGTTTAGTCTCCCAGAAGATAGTTTATAAAGATCTCCTCCATGATTGGGAGTGCCCGCTGTTGGAGCTCGGAAGTTATGGCTCTCGGAATTTCCATCTCCGTTGGGAATCGTGCAAGTCTGCGGCCCACGGTGCGAGCACAACGCTGTCCGGATTTTTCTCGTTAAAGCGATAGTAGTCCGATTACTAGCGGCAAGTGGCAAGGCATGGGCCTCCGAAGAAAAGTACCTTCGCTGTCATATACATGCACAGTGGCAGCCATAAATTCGCCTTCGAAGTTCTCCGAAGACACCTGCAGAAGGCGACCAGCACTAAGTAGGCTTAGACCAAACTGTTTAAAAAGACTAACCACATTTCATGTTATATTCTTTTCTCGGAGTATCTCTGTCTGTCTCCCTGCATTGATGTCAGTGCTCCTTTCACTGAGAAAAAAAAAAGGATGAAAAGCCGAAGCAACTGTTGCTAACGTATCAGTCCTGCAAGCAGTGCCATGCAAATGAATGCCAGATATTAGGAGCTAATAATCACCTGATTCCATACACTGCAGCGTCCCAGCTTGCGAAAACACATGGCGAGCTCCGGAATTTCCACTGGACCCATGGATGCTCCTCCAGGAAATCTGATCCTATCACCTCTGGAAGATTTCGATCGAAAAGTATTCCCTTTCTCTGGTCACAGCTCTGGCCTGCACACAACAAAGAACACTCAAACGTCAGACAACACAACCCCGTTTCCCGGGAGCGGATTTCTAGAGCCGTACGAGGCATACTTTGGGAAGAAGTGAGAAAACGAGATGACCCGGCCAGTAGTAGTGTGCCAAATCTCCGTTAAGAGAGCTAAGGTTGTCGAAGTATCCGGAATTCTGAGCTCGTCCGGCATGACAATCAATACAAGTCTGCACCACACATGCAAACAATGTTGTCAGGAAACGTGTTCAAACGAAGAGCCGCATAGATAGAATAGAAAAACAAAAACAAAAACAAAGAAGATAGAAAAGAAGCGGGAAAAAAAAAAAGGAAAGAGGATAACGTGCCTTCTCGAGAGGTGGAATGTTGTGAGCCGATTTCTTTGTCAAAAGTCTGCAGTAGGAAGAATTGTCGAGTGTCAATCCAAAGCACGTCTGCGCAAATACAGAAAAGAGTGCCTAGTGGTATCCAGGAAAGTTGAGGAACGATCCAAATATCACAAGCTTTCCATGGCTTGGTGTCGACGCAAAGTACTCACAGAGCTCGCTCACCTTTGCCAGCAAGGTTTGTTTCTCTTTGTGGTGTTTCTTTTCATCCCAACATCATGATCACACTGGAGGAAAAGTCCAGCTACAAAGCCAAAGAATTAATCTCCATTCCTCTCACAGAGAAAGATGCACTTACGTGTTTGTGCTTCTTGCATAAGTCCTCATTCCCAGCAACCAAGAAGACCCGAAAAAAATCAGCCTGTCCGAGACATCAATCAAAGTACCTCGTTTCATCGATACTATATAAACCCTCGCGCCGCTCACCTGGTAAGAAGGAATGCGGCGGCGCCTCTTCCTGCTGACATTGCGAGGTCAATTTCTATTTTCTTCCACTGATCGAAAACCATACCTTCTTCGGCGCCGCTTCCCGATCCCGGCGCGCTGGCACTAAAGAAAAAACCCTACATTCTTTAGCTTTAAACATTGGTGGCAATTGGGTTTCGCTCTGATAATTTCTTTTAATGTATTATTAGATATTGGGTTAGCTGCCACACCGAGAAAAGTAATAAAAGTAGACACAGTCAAGCTCATCCAATGCAACATCAATCTAGCCATTGTTGCGGTTCGTGTTGAGCTTTAAAACATCTTGATCAACTTCCATTTCAGAGATCCCTTTATATACCAGTTAAGAGGTAAAAAAAAATTGTAATGTTTTGGTACCTGGTTGCACGCTTTTTTAAGGCAGAATCCTCCAAGTTTGAGATTATCTCTATAAAAACTGGGCATAATCAGTGTAGCTTTCACTCATTTCAATCAAATTATCAGACTTTAGCGGGAGCAGTTCCTTCGGGTAGTTGCATAGGAGAGGCATGGAGGTTCGCATTCTAGTAAAATTACAAAACTTAATCGAATTAGAGAAAGTTTATGGGGCAGAAAGTGTTAGATACATCCCACTTTTGTTAATCTTAATTTTTTTACGTGCACTGATTGAGCAAGTTTGCACTCAATTCCTCCAAAATTTGGAGATGACCGGACTGAATGGATGCCAAATCAAATTTAGTGATGCCATAGTCTTTACCATATTCTCGTGGTGATGAAAACGGTGTGAAAACCATGACGATTGAGTTTATAACTTCCATTAATCCATACATCTTGCCAGTAATGTTCATGGTCACAACAAGAATACTCTCACCACCTTTTACACATCTTAATAGCCTTGGAAGCTGAGGATATTGTTACTTACACATGCTTGAGGTACTGAAAGCCATTCTAGCATTGAGCATTTTCATTTTGCCTTTTTATCTCTCTCTCTCTCTCTCTCTCTCTCTCTCTCTCTCTCTCTCTCTCATTCCATGCTAACTTTTCCAGCAAGACTTAATTTTAATATAAATGAATATAAATCAGATAAGAGATAACATGGTAAGAAAATAATAAATAAATCCATATAAAATTGCATTCTAATGCAAAATCTGCACAAAAATTCAAACTTTCATAAAAATGTATAAGCTACTAAATATTACAGTACTATTACCATAGTTCAGCGTAAATGCTAATGTCAAAATCTAAGTCCAGATTGTAACAATTAAAGAAAATTTAAAAAATCAAATAAAGTCCTTGAAGTAAGAAACAAAGTATTAACTTTCTTTCAATATTTTTTTATAAAAGATTGAGACATTTAAGGTGGCTAACAAATATATAACTATTTGACTTTTCTTGAAATTCCACCATTTACTCCTCTTTAACATCCGGTCACTGCTTCTTTTCAAACACGAGCTCCGAGTAGGCGATATTCAGCCGCTGATCGCCGCCGCTGGTGCAAACGAGCAGCTCCGGCGTGCCAACATTCCAGCATCAATCTCCTTGCCAGGTTGATCTGATCGATCTCCTCCACAGCCATTGTTCCTTGCTCCACCTCGCGCGCCAGCGCCTGGCACGCCTGGACCAGATCGCTGTGACCACCGTAACCAATCGCCATGGCGAATTTCATCCCCGTGTTGCCGCTGGTCGCTTCCGAGATCATAGCTTGGAGCGGGCGCGGGAGCCTGGCACTGTCGCCAATGCAGTGGAATTGATATCAAAAATCCCACCTGAGTCAACCCAATCCATTCACAGCAAAACAATATCGAGAAATTCCACTCACAGCAGAATGGTGGCAGGATCGTCGACGCTGAGAACTATATCAACTTTCTGCATCCGGCCGCAAGAAATTCTCGGTGGAGAAGGCGAAGAGCGTGAGCGCCTTGATCCCTAAGTCACTGGACATCCCCGGGCATTGGAGTAGCACGCCTCCGCCGCGGCTGGCAGGTGGTGCTCCTTGGCGATCCCTCGCACCTTGTCATCGCAACGTGGTTCGGGAGCCGCAAAGGATCCCACCCCCGCGGGCAAATGCGTCGTCTTCGTAAATTAACTTTTAAGTTTTCTTCTAATGAAGTAGTTTATTCTTTTAAAAGACGCCGGGCAGCAGACTTGTAAGTTCATCTCTCGAATGCGAGGCACTGTGCAAAACACGTAATAAACGATTGTGAGCAGAAACAAAACTAAAATCAATGCAGTCACCTCCGCAGGATAGGTATCACACAAAAGCTGCCCGATGTGAGTTTCCATTATAGTTTAGTTCACATGAAAGTTTCAAATACGGACATATCCTCGTTGCGTTCCATGCGTCATCGTCCAAATCCTCTACTCAAAATTAAAGAACGATTTCGTGGACGGCAGGATTCGAACCTGCGCGGGCAAAGCCCACATGATTTCTAGTCATGCCCGATAACCACTCTGGCACGTCCACATTATCAATTAATTAATCTTGTTAAGATGGATTGTCTTCTACAATTTCTAAACGAGACCTCTTCTGGAATAGGCTTGAACCAAACAGTTTAAACCAACCACAATTTTATGTTGTATTTTTTTCTCGTGCAACCAAGACCGAGCAAATACTTAGCCTAACTTTATAAGTTCTAACATGAAAACCATTACCAAGAAACTTTGATTTTCCCACGGCTTCATCACAGGCGGTTGATACACCACTGCTCCACTATAACTATCCATGCGCTGGGCAGCCAACGGACTCCATCTATTTGTGAACCACAACTGGATCTGGATATCTCTCTGGAAAGCAGACAAGGTTGCCATCTTCAGTGATCACCTGATTCCATCCACTGTAGCATCCCATCTGAAATGCGTATGCCCAAACACATGAAAAGCTCCGGAATTTCTACTGGATCCGTGAATGCTTAGTCTGCGCTCCAAAAAATCTGATCCTATCACCTTTGGAAGATTTGGATAGAAAGGCATTCTTTTCTTTGGAAAAGCTCTGGTCTGTTCACAACAAACAACGCTTAATCTCCAACTAAAGACATAGCCTCACCTCCAAGTTGCGGTGGGAGCAATACCTTGTGCTTTTTACAATGTTAAAATTGAAGAATGGTTCTAGTTGGGCTTTAAAACATGTAATAATAAACTAAAAAGTGATGTGGCATGGTTGTTCGAAAGTGCTTGACAAGTGTAGAGGATTGTAGAATTACCCAGATACTTGATTTTGCCACGGCTTCCTCACAGGCCTCAGAGATGGTTGATACACCACTGCTTCACTATAATGATCCATGCGCTGGGCAGCCAACCGACTCCAACTACTTGTGTGCAAGTCATATACAACCACAACTGACAACATTGCCGGACATCTCTCCGAGAAGCATACAAGGTTGGCATCTGCAGCGGTTACCACTTCTAGCAATTGTACAATTGGCTTGAGCTGAGGATATTGACTACAAATGGCCACAGTCACTGCAGAAACAGTAACCAAGCTGCCATCCTCGTCAACTCTCCAGATACCAAATCCATCCACTCCACAACACACGTCCTCGACACTTCCTGCATACACCCACCCGCTTGCAAAGTATCGCTGCCCATCCCACTCCCACAACCTCGATGTGCACACGCCTGGCCGCGGCAAAACGCAGCGCGTATGCTTACCACCTTCGAGGCCTGTTGTGAACCTGAGGTTGCGCACCACACTCCCGATGCTCCACTCACAGCGACGAATGTCATACATGCCCAAGGTGGTGAGGTCGTAGTATAAGGCGTCCATGTCTGGGAATGTTAGCGCTCTGGTCTTGAGCCACTGAGCCCTCGCTTGTACGTGCGCTTGTGTCAAGCACAGCATGCCCAGTGCTGACCATGCACCGGTGGCCGAGTCGTAGACGTAGCACGAGTGGCCTGTAGTGGCTTCCGAGTGCTGGATACCCACCTTGAAGTAACCGGCATCGCCATCAACCAGCATCGCGAAGTCAATAATACCTGTCTCTTCTTTGTCCTTCCACTGCAGCGCGGGAACTTCCGTCCACTCTTGGGTGAGTGGATTGCCAACCACCAAGTGGAGAACATCAGAATCTCTACCTCGGATGCATACAAGGCCGCCGGCAGAAGCCACAACGTCACCATGGGGTAGTCGAAGCTCCCGCCTGTGGCCAGATGACAAAGGAGTTCTGAAGGTGTAGCATCCCTCGCTGTGCATGGAGCTTGTCATGATCAGGGGGACCTCTTTGACACCAGCGTTGCGGCACCATAGTTGGCGAAAAGATGGCGAGCTGATGATGTTATTCCATGACTTACAAACGGCAGAGCAATTCGACAGTGTGGCCAGGTCCACAAAGCTGAGGATCCTATCAATCTCCTTCATGATTCCTTTAATGAAAACCTATCAAGGCTCGACCTTATAAAGGTGACAGGATGAAATAGTCTTGTTCCTTGGTCTGAACGATTTCCTCCAACCCACAAGTCGTGATTCCGTGTTTCCGAGCAACAGGAAAGAATCAGCTTGTCTGACCAGAGTATCTCGTTGATAGAACTTAAGTCTCTTGCATTGCATTTGCATAGGACAGACATCTGATTATTTTCTTGATAATTGAAACCAGCTTCGCTACCTTTGATTGCTTCAACATGGAAGAAAGGCCACGAAGACTTTTTAATTTGTTTGGTTTATCTTCTAATAGCGTGAAATGGAACTGCAGGATCGAGCTCCTTCAACCTCTTAAAATACAGATATCAGCTTCACATGAAGTTGTTGCTCAGAACAACTTCTTTCCAGCTGCAACTCAAAATCTGATAAGGCATAAGTGACAATGAAGATGATTGCAAATTCTTCATAGATAAACAAGGCACCAAATTTTCATCGTGGGCCTCAGAGACGGCCGATACACCACTGCTCCACGAAAACTATCCATGCGCTCGGCAGCCAACCGACTCTAACTACTTGTGTTCAAGTCATATAAAACCAAAACTGGTAAGTGTTGCCAACCCGTAGTTACAAAGGGGTCCATGTCTGGGAATGTTGGTGCTGTGGTGTTGAGCCTCTGGGCATTTGCTTGTACGTGCGCTTGAGTGAAGCCCAGTGCTGACAATGCTTCATGAACCCTCTGATTATTTATGGCCAAGGAGAGAAGGAAGCGTATCTCACCTCGTTCTAGCTTGGCTCTCGGAGTTCTCAGCTCTTTTGTAAGCAGTATAAGTCTGCTACCCACGGTGCGAGCACAACGTTGTCTGGATCCCTCTTGTTCAAGCGATAGTAGTCCGACCAGTAGCAAGGCATGGGTCTCGGAAGAAGAGTACCTTCGCTGTCATATATGCACAGTGGCAGCCAGCATTCACCACCATAAACTCGCCTTCGACGTTCCCTGGGATAAGCCAATGGTGCCTGTAGATACCTGTAGAGGACGATCAAACAATTTCATGTCATCTCTCCTTTTCTTATAATCTTTTCTCTAGTATGTCTCCCTGCATCGTGCAACCATGCAGTGTTAGTGTAAGAAAATTTCTTCCAGGAGGAAAAAGGGAAGGGGGGCAAGAAAACCGACACGCTTAACGTACCAGTGCAATGCAAGCAATGCCATGCAAAATGAAGACCAAAATTTATCACCTGATTCCATCCACGGTAGCGTCCCAGCTGAAATGCGTGTGCCCAAACACATGGAGAGCTCCGGAATTTCCACTGGAACCATGGATGCTCCTCAGTCTGCGTTCCAGGAAATCTGATCCTATCACCTTTGGAAGATTTGGATAGAAAAGCATTCTTTTCTCTGGGCAAAGCTCTGGTCTGTTCACAACAAACAGCACTAAGAACGTCACACAACACAACCCCATTTTCTCGCACCTGGGAAGGAAGTGAGAAAAGGTGATGACTCGCTCAGTGCTGTGCCGAATCTCCGTAAGACACTGCTGGTTGCAAGAGTTAAGATCATCGAAGTATGCAGCAAGCGCTATATCAGGAGTCTTGAGCTCGTCCGGCCACTTACAGGCATGATAATCAGTGCAACGCTGCACCGCAAATGCAAACAGTGTTGTCAGAAAACATGTTCAAAGTGAAGAAGCAGAGAAGCAAACAAAATATTGAAACCAATGAAAGAGAGGATAACATGCCTTTTCGGGAGGTGGAATATTGTAGCCGACTATGTCCCGTTCCTTATCAAATGTCTGCAGGGGGAAGAATTCTCGACTGTCAATCCAAAACACGTCTGCTAAACTACGAAGGAGATTGCCTGGTGATACCAGGAAAGTAGAGGAACGATCCAAACTCCGCAAACTTTCCCTGGCTTGGTGTCGATGCAAAGAGACTCGCATATCGCATTGAGCTCCCTCAACTTTCCCAGCGAGTCCAGCTGCAAAGCCAGAAAAGAATTAGTTCATTTCTCCCACGAAAAAAAAAGAGGAGGACGAAGTGTACTTACGTGCTTGTTCTCCTTGCCTCTACACCACAAATCGTGGTTCCCAGGAACAAAGAAGACGCGATGAAACCTTTCCTTCAACAGCCTCATAGTGTCTTTGAAAGTCTCCAAGTTGTCTGAGACGTCGCCCGCCACGATCAAAGTATCTCGTTGATGCAACTTGGTCGACAGCTGCACGATCCACTGCAAATTCTCTCGATAATCGGTGTGCAAATCGGACACAGCATAAACGCTCGCATGAGAAGAAATGCGGCGCCTCTTGCTGCCGATGCTGCCATAACCGATGCCTTCCCAGCTAGAAATTTCCAAAATCCATCACTAGAAAATCTCCCCTCCGCCCACACATACCTCGATCGGCGCCAGAGAAATCGTTGATTGCTCGAGGAAGGAGACGCCGGCGCCTCGATCGCGGAGATCCCACAGCGCGGCGCAACCATGGCCGCTGCGCAAAGAGAAGAAGAAAGAAACCCTACATTCTTTGAGAGTTTAAGCGCGGTAAATTTCGCTGGTGTAAAATGATTAAGTTAGTAGGGATTAATTAGCACTCTAATTTGTTATTAGTGGTCCATGCATTATGAATTGGAATTTATAATGTAGCTTTGTATGCTCCGCTGGGGGACTCTTGGAGCAAGGACGTGGAGGGAGGAGCGCGTTAGGGTTTTGGGTTTGCACGGTCGGATCTAGCCATGGAATGTGGATCGTCGCTCGCGGGATCGCTCTCGGCTGCGCTGTGCCTGCCTCACAGATTCCGCGCCCGGGGAGGATGCGCCAGGAATGTGTCCGTGAGAGCGGCAAATTCCGGCTCTCGGGGGGGCGTGACTTGCAGCTATGACCAGGAGAAGATTTTGGTGGCCAACAGGGGCGAGATCGCGGTGCGTGTGATCCGGACGGCGCACGAGATGGGAATTCCCTGCGTTGCCGTCCACTCCACCGTCGACAGGGACTCGCTGCATGTCGAGCTCGCGGACGAGGCCGTGTGTATCGGCGAGCCAGCCAGTGCCAAATCGTAAGTCACATTTTCCTTTCTCCGCGAAGCTTTCCTTCCCAAAATCTCTTTTTTCCTTCTCTTTCTTTCAACTTTTTCTCCAAAGTCCACAGCTAACTTTTGACATGCAGCTACCTGAACATTCCAAATCTGCTGTCCGCCGCCATGACCCGCAATTGTACCATGCTCCATCCCGGATACGGGTTCTTGTCCGAGAATGCGAAGTTCGTGGATATGTGCAAAGATCACGGCTTGAACTTCATCGGCCCAAACGTAAGCATTTGCTTTAGGGATGGATGAAAGGTCGCAAGTTGATTTTCATCCCTTTCTTTCTTGTGCTTTGCAGTCTGATAGCATTCGAACAATGGGAGACAAGGCTACTGCTCGAGACACGATGAAAAAGGCCGGGGTTCCCACTGTTCCTGGAAGTGATGGCCTGGTCGAGGTAAATTTCTTGTTTCTACCTTTGGTTTCTTTCTCAGCTTTGTCGCTGTTGTTTTCCAGACTACCGAAGAAGCCATTCGTCTCGCTCACGAGATTGGTTTCCCAGTCATGATCAAGGTTGAATGTCTTGTCCTTTTGTTTTTTCATTTTTCTGATCTCTTGGAGTTATCATAGGCTACGGCTGGCGGTGGTGGTCGTGGTATGCGACTAGCAAATGAACCCGAAGAGTTTGTCAAGCTTTTGCAGGTTCGTGGAAATCAATCTAGTGTTAGATCTAATTTTTTATTTTCTTTCATTTTCTTAGCAAGCTCGCAGCGAAGCGGGAGCTGCATTTGGCAACGATGGAGTGTACCTGGAGAGGTACATCAAGAATCCCCGGCACATCGAATTCCAGGTCCTCGCGGACAAGCATGGAAATTGTATACACCTTGGGGAAAGGGATTGCAGCATTCAGGTAGAATTAATCTTTTTTTTTCTTTTGTTTCCAGTTTTGAGGATTGTTATTACAGAGGAGAAACCAAAAGCTTTTGGAGGAGGCACCATCGCCGGCTCTAACACCAGAGCTGCGCAAGGCCATGGGAGATGCGGCGGTGGCTGCTGCTGCATCCATTGGTTACGTTGGCGTTGGAACCATTGAGTTTTTGCTGGACGAGAGTGGATCCTTCTACTTCATGGAGATGAACACACGTATCCAGGTGAGGCAACTCTCTAGCTCTTCACCTTTCTTATGTCTTTTGCTTCTTCACAGGTCGAGCATCCCGTCACGGAGCTCATCTCCTCTACTGATCTCATCGAGGAGCAAATTCGAGTTGCTCTGGGGGAGGAACTTCGATACAAACAGGTAGACGCGTTCTTACGTTCATCCATGAAATTGTCATTTCATAAATGTTTTTCTTGATGTTTAGGAAGATATTGTCTTGAAGGGCCACTCTATCGAATGCCGAATCAATGCAGAGGATGCCTTTCAAAACTTCCGGCCTGGACCAGGTAAGACATTGAAACTTCATAACGCTTGTCCTAAGACTAACCATCCATCCACAGGCCGTATAACAGGCTACGTTCCTCCAGGAGGCCCCTTCGTGAGAATGGATAGCCACCTCTATCCAGACTATGTTGTTCCTCCCACCTATGATTCTCTCCTCGGAAAGGTTTGCTATGCTTTCTCCTAAGCCTCGGTTAAAACTTTTCTTTATAGCTGATCGTCTGGGCACCAACACGGGAGAGAGCTATTGCTCGCATGCAGCGAGCGTTGCAAGACACCATAATCACAGGTACTTTTATTCCTTCTCAAATCGATTTGTTTCTATTAAGAGTGTGGCTTTGCTCAGGGGTCCCGACTACAATTGACTATCACAAGCTTATCCTGGAGATTCAGGTGACTTATCTTCTTTCTTGCCTTCCGATGTTCTCTTTTCTCATGATCTCTTTCACTCTGGTTACATAGGACTTTAAGGACGGAAAGGTTGACACAGCTTTCATTCCCAAGCACGAGGAGGATCTCGTTGCTGTACGTATGCAATAATCGTCACTGTGATTACTAAAATACATTGTTTTGGTGTTTTTCGCAGCCATGATCCTCTCCAATGTTTTGTAGCTGCAGTTTCTCGAAACTTATTGACACTTAAATATTCATAAATCATTTGTTTCTTCTGCGATAGTAAACTTCAAAATTTCCATGAGTAACTCAAAAGAGTTTGTCCCAAGCTTTAGCATCTCGTCCGCAAGTACTCTAGCTCTAAGTTGGAAAAAGAAATTATGTACACTATCCCCAGTCTCTCATTGCCGGACGTTCCTCACACGCTGTTCGTAGAAATCCAGAAGCTGCAAATTCATGATAAAACACGAAAGGAGAAAAAAAAGAATGAAAACTACCAGCTGGGGATAATTTTCGCGCAGGTACTTGTTATCCAGTAGAATCTCCTCGCCATCGGACCTACAGGGCGAAACAAAGCGAACAAGCTCAAGAGAAAAGCCTAGAAACAAAGGCCAGTCTTACCGTAGAACCTTGAAGGTCACATTGAGATCCTTCTCCCCGTTGCTGAGTTCTCTCGTGGAGTAGCTCATTGCCTTGAGAATTTTTTCCACCGCGACGTGATTCGCAACAGTGGACTGCAAACTCGGGCTTCCAAGGTCCTGGTGTGGCTTTGCAGCTAGCAATGGAGGCAGGGCCTTCTCGCCTTCCACTTCAGCTTTCACCTCAGCTTTCACTTCAGCTGCTACCAAAGCTTGCTGACTACAAGAAAAAAAAGAAGCGATTGTTTCATTTGTCATGAGAGGAAATGACGCTCTTACCTCCGCTCGAAGTCCTTGAGGGCCTGGGGGCAATTCGCTAGGTGCTTGTGCGGCTCCCAAGTATTGAACTCCTCTGGATATCCCTTCCTGCAGCGAAAGAAAACCTTTAAGAAAAAAACATAGAGCGAAGAAAGCACACCATTTTATGTAGTAATGGAGTTTTCCCTGCAAAGAAAACAGAGCAAGCATCTTGAGCGAAAGAAGAACCAAAGGAACAGCTCGAACCTCGAAAAGCCTCATCTGCTGGATGGATTCCACCTCATAAAACTCGTCATCGTCGTTGCGGGATCGCTTGGCGCGCTGCTTGTCCCACTGCTGCGAGCTGTAAAACGAGACACTCTTTCTCTTTCTCTTCTCCATGGTCTAGTAGCACAGCGCTGCAAAAGGCAACCCAGCAGAGGCTAAAAACACACTCCAAAGCGATGGAAATAAAAGTAGCAAGAGGAAAAGATCGAATAAAAGAGAGTGAAACGAAGAAGAAAGAAAGAGGGGACTTTAGTTCAAAGAGAGCCCCGAGAGATTTTCCCCCAGCGAGCACTCGACATGGCAAGAAACGCGGCAATGCGTGGGGATGAGAACTAATCCCAGGCTCCGAGGCTCCGTGCCCGCGCCCTGCCGCTGCTCCAGCGTGTCGTAGAGGATGATATTCCCTTGCTTGTCCAGGCAGTGGAACTTACCCACGAAAATCCGCCCGTCCGCAACGCCGATGCGCATGCTCCTGTACAGCAGCTTGCGGCACTGCTTCACGCTCGCCCTCTCCTCCACCTCCACTCCTCCTCCTTCCATCCAAATCCCTAAACCCTAAAACCTCTCCTTGCAGCACTCGTGTTCTTCCGGGAAACGTGGAAAGCAAAAGAATAAAACCGCTCGACTTGGTTGTGGTCGCTAAAAAGAGAACTAATGTACAATTTTTTACTTTCTCACCACCATTTTTTTTTTCTTCGGTAGCTCCTGCCAGATTCAATCCAAAAAGACGAGAAAAAAAAAAGAAAAGAAATAAAAGAGAGAAAAAGAAGAAAGAAAGAAAAATAAAAAACCGAACGAAAAATGGGTACCGTGGTAGCTAGCAGTTCAATCCACACTGTTGCAAGTGAGGCCCCTGGGTCTTCGGCAAGAATGGATCGATCCTCACCCAAAGAAGCGAGAAGATCGAAGCCAGCAGGATCGACCAGACGATGACGATGGTGGGCGTCCTGTTTTGCCGTCCCATGAGCCCCTTGAGGAACGGATACAAGTGGACGATCACCCAGAACGCGAAGAACAGCTTCCCGAACAGCGGCCCCCACGACTGGTACCCGCTGTTGATGGCGTCCGCCAAACCGGCCACCACTCCCACCAGGTTGATGATAAGCAGCGTCGTCGGGGGGACGAGCAGCGTCGTCCACTTGAGTGTGTAGAGCTCGCCAAACTCCTCGTCGTCCGTGGCCTTGGACGTCACCGTGAAGTTGGTGTCGATACCGGCGAGGACTTTGAGCAGGCCCTGGAACACCGCGAAGAGGTGGGACGAGACGCCGCCGATGACCCAGAACTGCTCGTTCCTCCACCACTCCTCGATGCCGACGTTGCTCCACCGCATCTCCAGAATGGCCGTGGCGAAGATGGACACGAACATGGAGATGAACCACAAGCTGGCGAAGTTGCTTATCTGGACGTGTCAAAAAGGAGACGATGTGAGCTCCAAGAAACTTGTAACAAAGCTTCGTACGTACCTCTGGGATGATGAACTTTCCGGTGAGCAAACAGACTGCTGGAAGCGTGCAGTAGGCCACGAGAGGAATGGACGTGAGAGGATAGACCGTCGTGTTGATGTACGCAAATCTCTCGAGCCATTTCAGCCGGCCACCGTAGCCATACCACAGGGGACAATGCCTGCTCAGGAAGATCTCAACGGACCCCAAAGCCCACCGGAGCACCTGGTTGAGACGATCGGACAAGTTGATAGGTGCGGATCCCTTGAATGCAGCTCGTTGAGGCATGCAGTAGATTGATCTCCAACCACGAGCGTGCATCTTGAAACCAGTCAAGATATCTTCCGTGACTGAGCCGTAAATCCATCCAATCTGAAACAGTTACATAAATGTGTGAGGAATGTCTCTGAACCTGCATTGCGTTACCTCTTTTCCCCACTCGGTTTTGTCTTCGTAACCACAACTAATCACGTGAATGGCTTCTTTCAAAAGGGAGGCGGGGCTCGCCGACTGAGGAACACCTCCGTGCTCCAAAAGTGTTGATGCGATAAAAACAGGAGATTGACCAAACCGCTTTTCAAAATTCTTTTGAGACATTAGCGTCGATTTCTCTTCATCAAATCCTGAAATGAAAAAAAGAGTTACGAAAAAAGAAAAACACCTGAGTAAACTGTTTACCTTCAAATCCTTCTTCTATGTCATCGAGGTTGAAGATTGGGACGGACGAATCACTCCTGGTAGACATCATTCTCTTCTCCATCTTCTTCACTTTTTGCTTCTTGGTCTTCTTCCGCTTCCCACAACAAAATCCGGGACAGCAATCACAAGTACTGGCCGCTTCCTTCTCTTTCTCTCCAGCAGGTGCCTCGTAACCATAAAGCGATTGTCTTCGGAAGACGCAACCTGTACCCACGTATACGGGGCCCTGAATGCCGTCGAGACCTTTCATGTTAATCTGAAAAATCACAGAGTCAGCAAGTGTAAACACCTAACGTTTAGTAGTCTTACGTCAAAGAAGACGGTGTTGCGGTTAGCGTATCGATCGTGACGATCAATACCATCAAACCTCTGAGGAAACTGCACGTAGCAAACCTTCCTCCCTAGTGTTGGATCCATCATAAAGCACATAGCCTCTCTCACAGCCTTGCTGTTGTTTATGTAGTGATCGCAATCCAAGTTAAGAAAATATGGAGCATTCGTTAGCACCGCAGACACTCGCACCTGGAGAAGTTGATTGTCAACAAAAACATAAAAGATCAGAGTATAGAAACCGTACCAAGGCATTCATAGCACCGGCCTTTTTGTGATGGTTAAACCCAGGGCGCTTCTCACGAGAAACATACACCAGGCGAGGTAACTCATTTCCTTCCGTGTCATGACCACCACTATGACCCAAGAACACCTGCAAACACTCGTTCTTTATCGGTCCTGACAGAAATGAGGAAATACGTACCTGAATCATGCCCGGATGATCGCGCGTATTGTTTCCAGGCCACGGAGTCCCATCTTGCATCGTCCATCCCTCCTCTGGAACTTTTTGCGCCTTTGCAACCAGAGCATTGATGCGAACTTTAAACTCCTCGTACTCCCTCTGCATGTTCACTATTAGGAAATAGAAACACGAAGTGCATATACATACCTTCATGGCGCGTCTTTCTTTTACAAAACTCGGTTGGACTTTATCCTTCAAATAATCAATCTTTTGCGCAAAGTACCATTCGGGTGCCCGAGGCTCAATGTTGAACTTCTTGCAAAACGGCACCCACTTGCGGGCAAACTCGGAAGTTTCAGAGAGCGCCTCGAATGTCAACATTGCAGCACCATCGTCTGAAACGTAGCAAGAAACCTTGTCGACGGGATAATCAACTGACAAGATCGAAAGAACGGTGTTCGCCGTGACTAACGGCGGCTCTTTCATCGGATCCACAGTACTGACGTAGACATCGACAGAAGCGAGTTGCGATGGCTCCCCATCTTTCTCATATCTGAAACCCACGCCATTAAAATCAACATCAATGGCAATGTATATACTAACGCGCCTACCTCAAAGAAAGTCTGTCCAGGTACGTCTCTCGTTCGATTGGAAGCCATTTTGGAAACTGATCAAGAATCCAAGACAACGCGAACCAGATCTCGCAAATGATCGACGTCAACCACAAGGGGTATGCATCTCGCACGGGATTCATAATTCTATAACGGAAGAAGAATCCCAGGATCACCAGACGAATGACTATAATCATTCTGTAAGGATTGATCCTACTCGAGGGGATTGGAACCTTTCTTGAAAGAGGCTGTCTCGCCTCGTCCATTCTACAGAAACATAAAACCATTAGCAAGATGAGGCAAAAAGCAAAACGACGTACATTGGTAGGTCGGGTCCATTCCCATCGTCACCATGGTCTCCTCCCTTTCCATCTCCTTGGTTGCCTTCAGTCATCATCATTTGCATTTTCTGCTGCTTTAGCTTCCAGCTCTCCAACCTCTCTTTCCAGGCCACGCTTCCATAGCCATAAGATGCCAGATCCTTATCAGGATCCATCATGGATCTGGGTTGAACTGTGACGACAAAACAAATATATCGTTTAATACAGCGTGCGTGTGCCATATCATCGTTAACACCAACCTTGAAGGTTCGGATCGATGTAAGGAAGAGGGTGTACGCGTTTTCCACCGAGCATAGGTGGCACAACGATTGCATGATGGTCGGGAGGAATTCCATGGAGCTCTCCAGAAAACTGGTAAAAAGACAAAAGAGAGTGGTGAGTTTGCATGTAATCTAGCAGAAAAAGGAGAAAAGAAAAAAAAAGTGAAAGCCACAGAAAAAGCTAGGCAGAAAGTTACCATCTCTCCGTTGGTGAGTAGAGGATGCCTTGGCTGGATGGGCTGCATCATATCCGGCGGCAAGTCCTGCTCGTCCCCGCGCCCATAGCTCATGTGCCCATGCAGCATTGCCTCGGCAATGTGCTGCTGCCTCTCCTGGCGATCCTCATTGAAATTAAACTCGTTCTCGAGATCGTCAACATCGTCCTCGTCCTCGTCTCCCTCGACGCGAGGGCTACCTGCATTCGCCCAACAGGAAAAGGAAAACCCAGTAAGCCACAGCTCCTGCGAACCCGAGCAAAGATCACGCTAGCTCTTTACCTTTGTGGCGCCGGTATCGCGTTTTACACTGGGGGCACGACTGGTTCCCATCCTTGCGCTCGTACTCGTAGCAAGGGCGACACACCGGGAAGGCACACTCGTTGCACGCAACGAAGAGCTCGCCATCGACTGTACACCCGACGTCATCCCCACAGATTTGGCAGACTTGGCCGTTGAGGTGCTTCAATGGCTTCACCTGCATTGAGCAAATAAATCCACCAACATCATCCAACGAGGCCAACCACCAAGAACAAAACAAAAGAAAAGAGAGATTGCGCGAAAAGGCCCGAGAGCCCGAGGCCTGGCCGCCCAGGCCTAGGATTCCCGGCCAGATGCGCGAAATTCGAGAGAAAAGAAAGAAATCTCGAGCAAGGAGAGGAGATTTTGGCGTACCCCGTCTCCTTCCTGCCGGATGACCACCAGCTCGTTGCGATTGTGCGACCCCGCGACTAATCCCGCGCTCGCCTCCATTGGCCGCCAAAAACCCCCCCGGATCGAAATATCACCCGATCACTCCTCCCCCGCGATGGATTCGCGGCGGCGCTGCCGTGGCGACGACGAATCGGGGCCGAAATCCCGCTCCTGCTGCTGGCGCCGTGCAAATGCGGCCCCGCATTCACGCGAGACAAAAGCTCCCAGCGGCGATCTTCACAATGCCGCGCCTCCAACCTCGCGAGATCGCTGTGCCCTGGGCCGCGCGGTCACGCTGCATGCCCTCGCCCTCGCGAGCCACCACAAAAAACGCTAAAACGCGCACACTCTCACTACCAGGCACACGAGAGCTCCCCATCATTCGCCATGCCCAAAAAAATGAAGGTCTCCGCCGCCAGAATATCCCCCACGCAGCCGGAATATCCCTCTCCCGCGCACGTGCCCGGCTGCCCGCGGGCAGCGGGCCGGACAGCTAGCTCGGGAGCGGAATAGGTGGCCTCCGTAACCCGAGCCCGCCAAAGGCCAGGTGGCGGGCAGATTCCCCAGA